TTTGCCATGGTGGAGAGTTTGGAATCTGATTGTTTGATTGCACCTGTGAACAGGTGTCTTTTATACAGGTAACAAAATGAGATTAGCAGCACTTCCTTAAGAGTGCTTCTAATCTCAGCTTGTTACCTGTATGAAAGACACTGGTAGCCAGAAATCCTGCTGAATGATAGGGGATCAAATACTTATTTCCCTCATGAACATGCAGATCAGTGCATCATTTGTTAAACATGCATTTCTGCTGAATTTGTTGTTGCTATTCTGTCTCTCAGTGTTACAATACACCGAACGTTCGATTTTTAGACCGATCATTTCTTTGTGAGTGGGCAAACATTCAAAATCAGCAGGGGATCAAATACGCATTTCCTTCACTGTATATACTGTAATTTTTACTTATTTATTTTATTTTAATTAATTGCTTACTTAATTTATATATTTATTTTACCTTAGATTATACGCTCCTCGGCAGCGGGTACTGGTCTGAATGTACACTATATATGTAAAGCACTGCGTAAATTGACTGCTCTATAAAAGTACCTGGAATATATAAAATAAATAAATGTAATGTACAAGGCTGGTGCACCCTCTGTGTTGTTTTTTTGTTGGTGTTACTTTTGGACTCCCCCAGTCTGCAGGGGGGCTGCAAGATCTTGCCTCGTGTCAAGTTGCTGAAGATATAAGGTTCAACAGTGCCGGAGCAGCTACCTTGCGGGCAGGAGGTTTGTTTGTTCCGCTTGCACCATCTTCTTCCCAGCCCTGGCCTAGGGGCCAAAACAGAGGTTCCTATCCCACCTGCCAATCCTGCAGACTTCAAAAAACAGTACCCATGCAGAATCTGAATCACGGCACTGCTTAGCTCATGTCTGCAGGAGCAGGGGGGTTGGGCTTGGTGCTCCTCTCTCCTGTGTCATGTGATCGGCTAATGGGTAGAGCCTGCCCACGAGGAGCTAAATAAAGCTTGGGTGGGCCTGTCGGCGAATTTCCAACAACAAAAAGAAGCCCCTTGAGGGTTAGGGACTGAAGTGAATGTACAACATATATATATGTAAAGTGCAGGATAAATTGACCTGAAATAAATAAATAAAAAAGAAAAACAGGAAACGTATTTTATTTTCCTACAGAAATTTACGTCAGTTGTCAAAAAAAAACTTTAATATTTATTGCCAGATGAACTGCCTGACTTTTATTTTTTTTTTTTTAAGAAACATGTCATCCTATAACAGAAAATGAAGCCACGCCCATTTAGCCTGGTACTCACAGGGGCACAGGTACTTTGCCATTATATATCTCCCTCTGTCCTTTGCGTAAAATCCTGACCTCGGCTTCTGGGGCGTTTTTTTTTTCCCGCAGATGTGATGATGATTGCCCGATCCCGCAGGGACATTCGTCAAGTGCATGCATTGGCATTAGGTATATGAATATACTGACGGCTGTCTCAATCTGACTAGAGAAAAAAAAAAAAAATCGCTGGGTTCTTTTGACGATGACATGTTAAAAATTTTAATTTTGACTTCTGGTTCCACTTTTCCTTGACCCGTCATACCTGAACGAGTCTGAACCAGTTAAAAAAAAAAAAACTAAAAATTTTTTAATCTGGTTGTGCCTTTCCAATGCTCATGATGAGTTGTGCTCCTAGGAGGCGGAGCACAGAAACATAGTGGGATGTCCCATCCATGCCCATGCAGAGTGACAAAAACATCGTATAACTGTGCCATTGTTGGTGGCTGTGGGGGGAAAAAAAAAAAAAAAAAAAAAAAACTGTTAACCTAGCTGCACCTTTCCAATGCTCATGATGAGTTGTGCTCCTAGGGGGCGGAGCGCAGAAACATAGTGGGATGTGTCATTCATGCCCATGCAGAGCGACAAAAACCTGTATTCCCTACAGAACACCAGATTCCAGTTACCTCGTATAACTGTCATCGTCGGTGGTCATGCGCAACCCCATTCCATTCACCCCTGAAATGACATCAACAATCAGACAGAAGGCGTGGACAATCTGCTCCAAACTTGATCAGACTGGCCAGGAGGAAGACGATATGTCAAAAATTTTAATTACGGCTTCTGGTTCCACTTCTCCTTGACCTGCCCTTCCTGAACGAGTCTGAACCAGTTAAAAAAAAAAAAAAATTGGTTAACCTAGCTGTGCCTTTCCAATACTCATGAGTTGTGCTCCTGGGGGGTGGAGCACAGAAACATAGTGGGATGTGTCATCCATGTCCATGCAAAGTGACAAAAACATTGTATAACTGTGTCATTGTTGGTGGCTTCTGGTTCCACTTCTCCTTGACCTGGCCTACCTGAACAAGTTAAAAAAAAAAAAAAAAAAAAAAAACTTTGTTAATCTGGCTGCGCCTTTCCAATGCTCATGATGAGTTGTGCTCCTAGGGGGCGGAGCTCAGAAAAATAGTGGGATGTGTCATCCATGCCCATGCAGAGTGACAAACCAATGCTTTGTCCATGCAAGGCAAAGCCACAAGTTCAAGGAATTGTCCCCTTCTACTGACGCCTTCCTTCCTCCTCCACCAATCCCCCTGGAGCTTTCGAGTAGAACGGGACCCCATGATGTAATGCCGGGTCCCGCTATGCATCATGGGTAATTGACAACATTCTTTTCTTCCCAGCTTGTGGAGCCAGAGGAGAGATTGGCAGAGAGGGTTGGAGGACACTGAGTGGAGGTCAGTGGAGGGATTGGCAGAGAGGGGTGGAGGACACTGAATGGAAGCCAGCTTGGCCCACCTGAGAAGTGACAGACACCTGCTAAACGTCAGATTCATGCATGCCTGAGAGGCAATCTGAGGGGCCACACTAGAAGTATTTTCCACAGAAATGGACTCTAGGTTTTCTGAAATAATTATTATTATTATACAGGAATTATATAGCGCCAGCAGTTTGCTCAGTGCTTTACAATATAATGGGAGACATCACAGCAACAATACAGTTCAATATAAGAGGGATTGGAGGGCCCTGATCCTGGGAGCTTCCAAACTAAGAGGGAGGGGCTAGTGGTACAAAAGGTAGTAACTGTGGGGGATGGACTGGTAGGAGGAATAGAAGATTCCATTATTAGCTGAAAGCAGGATAGGCTTCCCTGAAGAGATAGGTTTTCAGAAGTGAGCAGAGTAGGCGATAGTTGGATAGATTGGGGTAGAGAGTTCCAGAGGATAGGGGAGGCTCTGGAGAAGTCTTGGAGACGAGCATGGGAGGAGGAGACATGGGAGCTACAGAGCAGGAGGTCATGGGAGGAGCGGAGAGGAAGGTTTGGGTGACATTTGGAGACGAGATTGGTGATGTAATTTGGGGCGGAGTTATAAATGGCTTTATATGTGATTGTTAATGTTTTGAATTTTATTAGCTGGGCAATGGGAAGCCAGTGGAGGGATTGGCAGAGAGGGGTGAAGGACACTGAGTGGAAGCCAGTGGAGGGATTGGCAGAGAGGGGTGGAGGACACTGAGTGGAAGCCAGTGGAGGCATTGGCAGAGAGGGATGGAGGACACTGAATGGAGGCCAGTGGAGGGATTAGGAGAGAGGGATGATGACACTGAGTGGAAGCCAGTAGAGAGATTAGCAGAGAGGGTTTGAGGACACTGAGTGGAGGCCAGTGGAGGGATTGGCTGAGAGGGTTGGAGAACACTGAGTGGAGGCCAGTGGAGGGATTGGCTGAGAGGGTTGGAGGACACTAAATGGAAACCAGTGGAGGGATTGGCAGAGAGGGGTGGAGGACACTGAATGGAGGCCAGTTGAGGGATTGGTAGAGAGGGATGGAGGACATGAAATGGAGGCCAGTGGAGGCATTGGCAGAGAGGGGTGGAGGACACTGAGTGGAAGCCAGTGGAGGCATTGGCAGAGAGGGATGGAGGAAACTGAATGGAGGCCAGTGGAGGGATTGGCAGAGAGGGGTGTAGGACACTGAGTGGAGACCAGTGGAGGGATTGGTAGAGAGGGATGGAGGACATGGAATGGAGGCCAGTGGAGGGACTGGCTGAGAGGGATGGAGGACACTGAGTGGAAGCCGGTGGAGGGATTGGAAGAGAGGGATGGAGGACACTGAGTGGAGGCCACTGGAGGGATTGGCAGAGAGGGTTGGGGGACACTGAGTGGAGGCCAGTGGAGGGATTGGCAGAGAGGGTTGGAGGACACTGAGTGGAGGCCAGTGGAGGGATTAGGAGAGAGGGATGATGACACTGAGTGGAAGCCAGTAGAGAGATTAGCAGAGAGGGTTGGAGGACACTGAGTGGAGACCAGTGGAGGGATTGGCTGAGAGGGTTGGAGAACACTGAGTGGAGGCCAGTGGAGGGATTGGCTGAGAGGGGTGGAGGACTTGGCAGAGAAGGGTGGAGGACACTGAGTGGAGGCCAGTGGAGGGATTGGCAGAGAGGGATGGAGGACACTGAGTGGAGGCCAGTGGAGGGATTGGCAGAGAGGGATGGAGGACACAGAGTGGAGGCCAGTGGAGGGATTGGCTGAGAGGGTTGGAGAACACTGAGTGGAGGCCACTGGAGGGATTAGCTGAGAGGGTTGGAGGACACTGAATGGAAGCCAGTGGAGGGATTGGCAGAGAGGGGTGGAGGACACTGAATGGAGGCCAGTGGAGGGATTAGCAGAGAGGGGTGGAGGACACTGAGTGGAGGCCAGTGGAGGGATTGGCAGAGAGGGTGGAGGACACTGAGTGGAGGCCAGTGGAGGGATTAGCAGAGAGGGATGGAGGACACTGAGTGGAGGCCAGTGGAGGGATTGGCAGAGAGGGCTGGAGGACACTGAGTGGAGACCAGTGGAGGGATTGGCAGAGAGGGCTGGAAAACACTGAATGGAGGCCAGTGGAGGGATTAGCAGAGAGGGGTGAAGGACACTGAATGGAGGTCAGTAGAGGGATTGGCAGAGAGGGGTGGAAGACACTGAGTGGAGGGCAGTGGAGGGATTGGCAGAGAGGGATGGAGGACACAGAGCGGAGGTCAGTGGAGGGATTAGTAGAGAGGGGTGGAGGACACCAAGTGTCTACAAGGAGTCATTGATGGAGATCGTCTTCGAGGTCAGGACTCAAGAACTTGGAGGTCCTCTGCCCAGCGTGCCTCTTCTGATGTTGGGCGAGATGAGACTTTTGGGCGAATCCTTTGCCGCACTCCGGACACGACACGGGCTTCAGTCCCTTGTGCTTGCGCTCATGGTAGAACAAGGACGATCGCCATTGGAAAGTCTTTCCGCATTCGGCGCACGAATAGGACTTCTCCCCCGAGTGCATCTTCAGATGTTCCATCAGGCTGGACTTTTGGACGAAGTACTTCCCGCACTCCGAGCAGGAGAAGGGCTTCTCGTCGGTGTGAATCCTTCGGTGCACGACCAGCGTCGACCTTGTAGCAAAGCGTTCTCCGCACTCAGAGCAAGAGTACGGCTCCTTCCCGACGTGAGTCCTCTGGTGCTGCAGGAAGTAGGACTTCTGGGCAAAGCACTTCCCACACTCGGAGCAGAAAAAAGGCACCCCGCCACGGTGCTTCCTCAAATGGTGCTCCAGAGACGGCTTCCACGTGAACGACTTTTCGCACTCGGGACAAGAATACGGTTTTTCCCCCGTGTGCATCCGCCGGTGCCGAACAAGGTTGGACTTTTTGGCAAAACATTTCCCGCACTCTGGGCACGAGTGGGGCTTCTCCTCCAGGTGCATGACCTGATGCCTCAGCAAGGTCGACTTTTTGGCAAACCGTTTCCCGCACTCTGAACAAGAATAGCACTTCTTGCCAGTGCAAGCCTTGCGATGGTCAACGAGATGCAACTTCTGGGAAAAAGACTTGCCGCAAGATGGACAGGGATGTGAAGGTTCGTCCACACGAGTCCTCTGACAGCCCCCACACCGAGGGCACGGAGAGCTTGCACCCTCTCGATCGGCCTCTTCTTGGGAGGCAGGGTGGGAGCGATCGGGAAAACACCCCCTATATGTAGACGGATCTGGCCTTTGAAGTCCTGGATGAAGATTAGGGCCGGCACGGTTTTCTTTTGGAGAGGCTTTGATGTCCTCTTCACCATCTGTGGAGATATGGTGGCATGCCATGTTTTTCCAATCATTGTGTCCATCTGGGGCAAAAAAAACGAGAAGAAAATCGATTAAACGATTAAATCGATTCATCCCCGAGTTCTACAGAATGAGAAATCGGTGGCAGAGGAAATTACGAGAGAGGCTTGCCCAACAGAAGAAGATGGTGGTGGAGAAACCCCAAACTATGGCCCTAGTAATATGCTCTTCAGGCCTTACGCGTTTCACCGGATGACGATTCATTTTCCAGACTGCTGAACGATCGGTACGGATTTTATCGAATAGTTGCAATGGTCGTCCAGCTTGGACCGATGCCTATGCAACGCTATAGCTGCGGGAACCATTGTGGAAGCGGAGAAATGCTGTAGTAGCCGCCGTCTTCCAGGTCCCATTCCAGGCAGATGCCTTCTGCATAGAAACCACAGAGGGGGGTCGCTCACTCAGCACAGTCACCATTTACGGAACACCTTTTTTTTTTTTTTACGTAATGAATGCAGAGCGTTCTCTGATTGGATGAGGTGGAAAAGGCGGGGCAAGGATGTCGCCATCACCACTTCAGTCAGAGAACTCCTTGCCTTCATTGAGAAAAATCCAAGTCGTTCTGTAAATGACGCCATACGCTTCAGCGACGCCTACAGGGTGCGATAAAAAAAAGTGTAGAAATAAACCCGCGCCTAAACCCAACCAAACGATTCATTAGCGCCGCCGTTCATAGACGAAGAACATCAATACATAAAATAAACAATAATACCGCAGCGCAAAAATTTATAGAAAATAAATAAAAAGTTATTCAATCTTCAGTGCGAAATTACTAAAAAATGTATAAAAATTAGTAAAAAAAAAAAAAAAAAAAAATCAATAAAAAGTTATTCGGTCATCAGTGACGAAATTACTAAAAATTACTAAAGAATAAAAAATGTATAAAAAAAAAAAATCAATAAAAAGTTATTCAATCATCAGTGAGGAAATTGTATCTTTCTCTGAGAGAAAAAAAAAAAAAAATAATAAAAAAATTAAAAAAACAAAAACCTAGATGCAGGTTTGACCTAGGCGAGTGCTAGGGTTAGTGTTCAGGTCAAGGTCAGGGGCAGTGGTGGGTTTTTCTTTTTTTGGTCAGGGTTTTTTTTTATCATTTTTAAATTAGTATCAGTTAGTGTCAGTGTATTTTAGGCAGGACAAAAAAAAAAATAAAAAGAGAAAAAAAGCAAGATGCGCACTATTGTTTATGAGTACAACCCAACATATGGTATTGCCGCGATCGTTAGGAGCAGGAAAATTTATTTTGGGTTGTTCTTGGTAGTAGGTTATGGTAGTAACAAGAAATATACAGCTAAATTAAAAAATATTATATATATTATATTATATATTTTTTTTTTTTTACTATTTTGGCTTTGATAATAAAAAAATCAGGACCACCAAACAAAAGCCCAATTTTACCTGAAAAAAAACATGGTATGATCCACCTGAATGCAAAAAGTAGTTGTGATGATATGTACGGTTTTACTATCACATATCAAAGTTGCAAAATTGTGCTTAGGCATTAACATTTGTTTTCCCCGTAGGCGGGAAGGGGTTAATGACATTATTAAGTGCTTATTTGCTAATGTTAGGTTCTGTATAGATCAGGCTCACTTGCTAGAATGACTTCTGCAGAGAGATGTTAGCAGAACACATTTTTTTTCACCTGGAGGATTGTCCTCCGTACACGGCTCCTCACCCCTCATGGGCGGATCTTCTTCTTCTTCAACTTTAATAATGACCAGTTCCTCGGCCTGTAAGACAAAGGACATTTTGGATCGGTCCTTTGAGTTGAAGCACAACAGGTACACTTTTATCTGAGGTGTCTACACGAGACAATTGTGTATCTCATTCACTAGCTGTAGACATAATTTAGCACGAAGTCATTTACCGGATGGTCTTCTGAGATGGTGAGATGTTCCTGTGTGGAGTCCCGGGAATACAGAGGACGGGGACATCTCTCTGGTGGGTTCCCATTACTGGATCCATCTACCTGATGGTGGAGAGGGATGGTGTGACCTTCCTGTGTGGAGTCCCGGGAATACAGAGGACGGGGACATCTCTCTGGAGGGTTCCCATGACTGGATCCATCTACCTGATGGTGGTGAGGGATGGTGTGACCTTCCTGTGTGGAGTCCCGGGAATACAGAGGACAGGGACATCTCTCTGGTGGGTTCCCATTACTGGGTCCATCTACCTGATGGTGGTGAGAGATGGTGAGATGTTCCTGTGTGGAGTCCCGGGAATACTGAGGACAGGGACATCTCTCTGGTGGGTCCCCATGACTGGATCCATCTACCTGATGGTGGTGAGGGGATGGTGTGACCTTCCTGTGTGGAGTCCCGGGAATACAGAGGACGGGGACATCTCTCTGGAGGGTTCCCATGACTGGATCCATCTACCTGATGGTGGTGAGGGATGGTGTGACCTTCCTGTGTGGAGTCCCGGGAATACAGAGGACGGGGACATCTCTCTGGTGGGTTCCCATTACTGGGTCCATCTACCTGATGGTGGTGAGAGATGGTGAGATGTTCCTGTGTGGAGTCCCGGGAATACTGAGGACAGGGACATCTCTCTGGTGGGTCCCCATGACTGGATCCATCTGTAGGAAACACACACACTGACTGAATCCATTGTTTTCATGTCTTTATACCAGACGATGGGGGATCTATATCACCTATATCATCTATATCAACAAACTTTATAAACCAAGGGCCAGTTTACTGTCATTCAAACTTTAGAGGGGCCGGAATGTAGCCAGTAGGAGTAGAAGATGCCCCATCTATGGTATTAGGGAGAGTAATAGTGCTCCATCATTTATATCAATGGGAGGAAAAGTGCCCCATTATTGGTGTCAGTGGAAGGAATAGTGCCCCATCATTGGTGTCAGTGGAAGGAATAGTGCCCCATCATTGGTGTCAGTGGAAGGAATAGTGCCCCATCATTGGTGTCAGTGGAAGGAATAGTGCCCCGTCATTGGTGTCAGTGGAAGGAATAGTGCCCCATCATTGGTGTCAGTGGAAGGAATAGTGCCCCATCATTGGTGTCAGTGGAAGGAATAGTGCCCCATCATTGGTATCAGTGGAAGGAATAGTGCCCCATCATTGATATCAGTGGGAGGAATAGTGTCCCATCATTGGTGTCAGTGGAAGGAATAGCACCCCATCATTGGTGTCAGTGGAAGGAATAGCGCCCCATCATTGGTGTCATTGGAAGGAATAGTGCCCCATCATTGATATCAGTGGGAGGAATAGTGCCCCATCATTGGTGTCAGTGGAAGGAATAGCGCCCCATCATTGGTGTCAGTGGAAGGAATAGCGCCCCATCATTGGTGTCAGTGGAAAAAATAGCGCCCCATCATTGGTGTCAGTGGCAGGAATAGTGTCCCATTACTGGTATCAGTGTGAGGACTAGTGCCCCATCATTGGTATCAGTGGAAGGAATAGTGCCCCATCATTGGTGTCAGTGGGAGAAATAGAGCCCAGCCATTGATGTCAGTGGGAGGAATAGTGCCCCATCAATGGTATCAGTGAGAGGAATAGTGCCCCATCAATGGTGTCAGTGGGAGGAATAGTGTCCCATCACTGGTATCAGTGGCAGAAATAGTGCCCCATCATTGGTATAAGTGGGAGGAATAGTGCCCCATCATTGGTGCCAGTGGGAGGAATAGTGCCCCATCATTGGTGTCAGTGGAAGGAATAGTGCCCCATCCTTGGTGTCAGTGGGAGGAATAGTGCCCCATCATTGGTGTCAGTGGGAGGAATAGAGCCCCATAATTGGTGTCAGTGGGAGGAATAGTGCCCCATCATTGGTGTCAGTGGGATGAATAGTGTCCCATCATTGGTGTCAGTGGGAGGAATAGTGCCCCATCATTGGTGTCAGTGGAATGAATTGTGTCCCATCATTGGTGTCAGTGGGAGGAATAGTGCCCCATCATTGGTGTCAGTGGGAGGAATAGTGCCCCATCATTGGTGTCAGTGGAAGGAATAGCGCCCCATCATTGGTGTCAGTGGAAGGAATAGCGCCCCATCATTGGTGTCAGTGGAAGGAATAGCGCCCCATCATTGGTATCAGTGGGAAAAATAGCGCCCCATCATTGTTGTCAGTGTCAGTGGAGGAATAGCGCCCCCCATCATTGGTATCAGTGGGATGAATAGCGCCCCATCATTGGTGTCAGTGGGAGGAATAGCGCCCCATCATTGGTGTCAGTGGGAGGAATAGTGCCCCATGGTTGGTATCAGTGGGAGGAATAGTGCCCCATGATTGGTATCAGTGGGAGGAATAGTGTCCCATCATTGGTATCAGTGGGAGGAATAGTGCCTCATCATTGGTTCAGTGGGAGGAATAGTGCCCCATCATTGGTGTCAGTACAAAGGGTTAGTGCCCCATTGGAGGTCAGTTGCCACTGTTGCCAATAGTGGGGGGCATAATACCCCAAAGGACAGATAAAAGCAAGCAAAGGGCCACACCTGGCTTCTGGGCTGCAGTTTGGAGACCCCTGCTCTATACTCTTCTCTCCTTTACAAGAAATGAAAGTCTCCTCTTACCCGGTGATGTGAGGGGTGGCTGATCCTCCATCATGACGTCCTTGTAGAGGTCCTTGTGTCCTTCTATATACTCCCACTCCTCCATGGAGAAATAGACAGTGACATCCTGACACCTTATAGGAACCTGACACACACAATGATACAGTCACCATCCAGACACATCCCTTGTCTGTTACTGGAGAATGTCCCAGAATTCCCGGCACCGCTCACCTCTCCTGTCAGCAGATCGATGATCTTACGGGTGACTTCTAGGATCTTGTTGTCGTTGCTCCTTTCAGATGTCCAAGACTGAGGGGGAGGCTCCATGGTGGGGTTCTGGCTCCTATGCCATCCCCTCGGTACCATGTGATCGCCAGGATTCCTCACCGGTCCATAATCCTGTAAAGTGAGAAGGAAAAAATAAATGTATTCTACAGCTACACGTGAACTCCCAGAATCCTCCTCACCTCTCCGGTCAGGTCTGTGTTTTATTAATAGAGATAAGAGTGATGTCATGAGACCTCCCAGAATCCTCCTCACCTCTCCGGTCAGCAGGTAGATGATCTCCAGGGCGAAGTTTAAGATCCGTTCAGTCATGTGACTCAGATAAAATCCCGATAAAGCAGAATGTAAAGCCAGGATGGAGGAGGACAAATAAAAATGGATGTTCCATCATCTATCTGTCAATTGGCAATGATTGACAGTGACTGCATGAGGTCATAAGGACAGTATTATTATTATTATTATACAGGATTTATATAGCGCCAACAGTTTGCGCAGCGCTTTACAATATAAGGGAGACAGTACAATTACAATACATTTCAGTACAGAAGGAATAGGAGGGTCCTGGTCATGGAGCTTACAATCTAAAAGGAAGGGGGAGGTGATACAAAAGATGATCGCTGCGGGAGATGATCTGGTGGAGGTGATTCAAGTACAGTTCTTAGGTGGAGGTGGGGTAGGCTTCCCTGAAGTGAGTTTTCAAAGATCGCCAAAAGGCAGACAGGGTGGGGGCTGACTGGACATGCTGTGGTAGGGAGTTCCAGAGGACGGGAGAGGCTCTGGAGAAGTCCTGGAGGCGAGCGTGGGAGGAGGTGATGAGGGAGCTATAGAGGAGGATATCATGGGAGGAGTGGAGTGGCTGATTTGGGCGGTATCTATGGATGAGGTTGGTGATGTACTAGGGGCAGTGTTGTGGATGGCTTTGTAAGCTGTGGTTAGTATTTTGAATTTTATACGTTGGGTTAGTGGAAGCCAGTGAAGGGATTGGCAGAGAGGGGCAGCAGTCGCTGATCGGTAGTAGTTGCGGTGTGGCCATTTCATTTTAAATTCCAATTGGGAATTGAAAAACGGGCAGTATCACCTTTTGAATATCTACAATACGACTCTGAACCTCCTCTGAAAAAGCAATCCACTGCGGATCGCTTTTCAGAGGGATGGTAGAGCTTGCTGCACCTGTGTGAATTAGCTCTCATGGCAACATACTGAATTGTATACTGTTTCAAAAAATTTTTATGCTGTATCTAAAACACAGTGATGACCAAATTACTTCTCGACCCTGATGAGTCACAATGTGCAGGTATTGTGTTTGTCTATGTGTACAATACTGTAGTGAATGCGGGCTCCAGGGAGACCAGATATAGTGAATGCGGGGTCCAGGGAGAGCGGATATAGTGAATGCAGGGTCCGGGGAGATCAGATATAGTGAATGCAGGGTCCGGGGAGATCAGATATAGTGAATGCAGGGTCCGGGGAGGCCAGATATAGTGAATGCAGGGACCGGGGAGACCAGATATAGTGAATGCAGGATCCTGGGAGACCAGATATAGTGAATGCAGGGTCCTGGGAGACCAGATATAGTGAATGCAGGGTCCTGGGAGAAAGATATAGTGAATGCAGGGACCGGGGAGACCGGATATAGTGAATGCAGGGACCGGGGAGACCGGATATAGTGAATGCAGGGACCGGGGAGACCGGATATAGTGAATGCAGGGTCCGGGGAGATCAGATATAGTGAATGCAGGGTCCGGGGAGACCAGATATAGTGAATGCAGGGTCCGGGGAGACCAGATATAGTGAATGCAGGGTCCGGGGAGACCGGATCTAGTGAATGCAGGGTCCGGGAGACCGGATATAGTGAATGCAGGATCTGGGGAGACCGGATCTAGTGAATGCCGGGTCCGGGGAGACCGGATCTAGTGAATGCAGGGTCCGGGGAGACCGGATATAATGAATGCGGGGTCCTGGGTTTAGTAACAATTTGAGGCTGCAATCAAACCCGTGTGTTTCATAAACACGCTGCAAACAGGCTGCAGGTCACGCTAGCAGTGCCATTAATTGCTAATGGCACCCTAAGCGGGGATGGCAGATGCATGTCTCGCGGCACAACAATGTGCTACAAACACCCACTGAAAAAGCGCATGATGCTCTGTGATCGAAAAAGTTCTTGAGCTACTTTAGGACGTTTGTCTCGTGTTGAGCAGCCCATTCATGTGAATGGGCAACCCAAGCATGATGCATGTTATCGCATGAAAAATGCACAAAATAGCAACCTGATCTGGTTTTATATTAAAAGTCTCTATCGCCAACTACCATCTTAGATTTCCAGCGACAGTAGAGTGTAAATTTTTTGTTTATTAAAATCTTGCAAACAAAAAACATCATAAAAATCATATTTACATATATACAGAATAAAATATGTATAATTAAACAAAACCAGCTTACTTCAGCAAAATAACAAATCCTAACCGTCACCTAAACACCCCCTCAGGCTAAGAAACGATTAAACATTCACCCCACACATTCATCCCATACATTGATCCCACACATTCATCCCATACATCGATCCCATGCATGCAGCCTTTCTTCAAAAATCTGATGTTACAAAATCTAGGGGACGTGAAAGGACAGAAAGAGAAGCCACGCCCCCAGAGACTGACAGACAGCAGCTACGGGGACCTGACATTCCTCCATGCCTTTGTCCAGGCTCCCGGCCGCCACCTGTCCTTCTCAAGACCCCGAATCTTCCCAACCTCACCCAGAATGTTGTTCACCACCACCTCGACAGGAAGGACTTTTTTGCGAATGGAAACCTGACACCGTGCATTCCACGTGTGGTAACGGACTACTAAGCTAACTAGAAAAAGTGTCTCAAAATCAAAATCCCGGTGAGTCTGAAAGGCTCCGTAAGACCACTCCGCGTAACTCAAGCGGGAAAGGAAAGGGATCCCCAGAGCCCCCCCACCCGCTTGTAGACTTCTATATTGAAGGGGCACTGAAGCAAGAAATGGTCCATCGTCTCCTCCACCCCACCGCACTCCACTCTTGGACAACCACGGTTCTCCGCAGAGCGATGCTTCAGGTTGCCCTTCACATAGAGTCTGCCATGGAACGAGAGCCAGGCCAAATCCCGAAACTTTAAAGGGATTCTCTCCAGATTCATCAAACGCAGACCCTCCCTCATAACCGGGCCTGGGCAATCCCTCAAGGCCAATGGCTCGCTAAAGGCAGATTCAACAACCCTCCTCTCCAGGGCCTTCCTAGGAAGAGATTTAATTTCCTCCGCCGTCACTCGCCATTGCCGAAGCATTTTCAGACACGGGGCAACATAAGCCGGGAGCTTACCATGTTGGACCCTCAGGCTTTTCACCGGCCCACCATTCTCCCAGCTCCGTAGAAAAGGCCTAAACCAGGACTGAAAAATACCAACCCACCCAGGCGGTTCCTCTGCCAGCATGCTACCAAAATTATGTTTCAAAAACATCAGAGAAAAGAAAACCACCGGGTTGACCATACCTAGGCCACCCATCCGCCTAGGAAGGTAGGTTACAGACCTCTTAATGAGGTTCAGTTTGTGCCCCCATAACAGCTGGAAGAAACAACTGTAGATCCTCGCATAGAGAGACACTGGCAAAACACAGACAAAGCTGACATACAGAAAATACCGGGATCAGGTAAGTTTTAATCAGGTCAATCCTTTCCCTGTAAGAGAGTTTCCAATCCTTCCAGCTGGCCACCTTGGCATCGGCATCTTGTAGCCTGCTTACCCAATTTGCAAGGCCGTAATCACCGGGACCAAATCTGATGCCTAATACTTTAATTTCCTGCTGGGCTCTGGGAAGGCGTCCGGAAGGGTAAAGCCTTCGCCTTCCTCTCCCATCCAGAAAACCTCACTCTTATCCTGATTGATCTTTGAGCCAGATGCCTCAGCATACTGTTCCATCACCGAGACCACCTCCTCCGCCTCCTGCGTCCCGGAGATGAAAACAGACACGTCATCAGCATAGGCCACGACCCTCAGAGGGGGCTCCCCAGGAATGCCCAAAGGAACTCCACACAACGGTCCGCTCTCTCTAACCTCCGAATGAAGGGATCGATTACAAACGCATATAGCAGAGGACTCAAAGGACACCCCTGACGCACACCTGAGCCAACCTCAAAGGGTCGTCCAATCCAACCATTCACAAGCATGAAGCTTTCAGCCCCTCTATATAAGGTCTTTAGCCAATCGATAAAGCCCCCCTCCAGGCCATACTTGCCAAGAAGCAGCCATAGGTACTCATGATTGACTCGATCAAAAGCTTTGGCCTGATCCAATGCCAGCAGGAACTTTCCCCAGCCTGCAGCCCTGCACCGCTCCAGGGCCTCCCGGACAGCTAACACCGCTGAAAAAGTGCTTCTTCCCTGAACCGAACAGTGCTGATGGCGAGAAAGTAAATTGCCCGCAACAGACGATAAACGCCAGAAAATAATTTTTGCCAATATCTTCCTATCAACATTGAGAAGGCTAATGGGCCGCCAATTCTCAATTCTCGAGGAATCCTTACCCTTTGACAGAAGAATCACTGCAGATTGTCGCATGGAGGGAGAGAGCGAACCCTCTCTCAGACAGCCATTAAACACCTCCACCAAATATGGGGCCAGAGTCACCTTAAAGTGCTTATAAAACTCGGCTGTCAATCCGTCTGGCCCAGGCGACTTCTTAATGGCAAGCTGATCAATAGCTTTCACCACCTCATCTGCCGTGATGTCCTCTGTCAAACTCACAAGAGAACTGCCATTTCCCAGTCCTGGAGTAGAGTCCAGAAAACCCAACATGCTCGCCCGATCGAGGTCCCTCCTACCCAGGAGGTCAGCATAATATGACCTGGAGGTTTCCAGGATCCCTGACTTGGACTTTGTCAGGGAACCCGTACTGTCAACCAGGCCTACAACTGACTTAACTGCTCTACCTTGTTTGCAGTTCTGGTAAAGGGTCGGGCGAGTGATATTTCCCATAATCCCTTTCCAGAACCAAAGAGGCATGCCTGTCATATTGACACTGCCTGAGCAAGAGTTTAACCTCAGAGATCGCTTCTGGATCTCCATTATTCGAGACAAGCCGATCGAGCTTCCTCCGCAGACGCTGGTAGGTGACATACTTATCAAGCTGTTTATTCCTTCCTATGGCCTTGAAAAACCCAACGATCCTTCGTTTTGTAAGCTCCCACCACTCGGACTTACTGCTGCAAAAGTCCATGATTGATACCTGTGCCTGAAAAAAATCCTCAAAGGATTGACTCACCTTCTCATCGTCCAGGAGTGCCGAATTCAGCTTCCAGGTACCCCT